GGATGAATTACTATATGGGGGATTAATTACTATAGGGGGGATGAAATACTATGGGGGATGAATTACTATATGGGGGATGAATTACTATATGGGGGACGAATTACTATAGGGGGGAATGAATTACTATATGGGGGGTGAATTACTATGGGGGATGAATTACTATGGGGGATGAATTACTATATGGGGGATGAATTACTATGGGGGATTAATTACTATATGGGGGATGAATTGAACTATGGGGGATGAATTACTATATGGGGGATGAATTACTATGGGGGATGAATTACTATATGGGGGATGAATTACTATGGGGGATGAATTACTATATGGGGGATTAATTACTATGGGGGATGAATTACTATGGGGGATGAATTACTATATGGGGGATTAATTACTATGGGGGATGAATTACTATGGGGGATGAATTACTATATGGGGGATTAATTACTATGGGGGATGAATTACTATGGGGGATGAATTACTATATGGGGGATGAATTACTATGGGGGATTAATTACTATATGGGGGATGAATTACTATGGGGGATGAATTACTATATGGGGGATTAATTACTATGGGGGATGAATTACTATGGGGGATGAATTACTATATGGGGGATGAATTACTATGGGGGATGAATTACTATTTGGGGGATTAATTACTATGCTTACTATGGGGGAATATTACTATACTTACTATGGATGACATATACACATCATTCATCTACTCTTGGTCCGGCCCCCGGGTCCAATATATGAACCCATTGCGGCCCTCAAGTCAAAAAGTAGTTTAACATTTTCTAATGGTGGTGTGCCTCGTGATTTTTTTCATAAAAAAAGTGTGCCTTTGCACAAAAAAGGTTGAAAAACACTGCTCTAGGCTGTACTTTCCCTCTCCAGGGCAAGACCCAGCTGCTCTAAGTTTCAGGCTGTTTATACCCCTTCCCAGCAGCCACCTGTGCATGGCTTCATCAAGACTGGCTGAGAGTATAACTATTCATGCTGCCTATTACCATTAATCCACACCTATGTTCCACAACCTACAGTACTAAAGAGTTCTGACAAGACAGGGAGAGAGCAATCAAACAAGTAGCCTGTGAGTGTAGAATTATCATTTTTTTTTATGGTTGAACTGGATGGACTTTTGTCTTTTTTCAGCCAGATGATCTATGTACTATGTAACTATGAGAGACATAGAACGCACCTGACCAATCACATGCAGCTGCACTGACTACAGTGAGCTAGAACTAAATTTGTCTAACACAGGAATTTCAGCCACACTGATTGTAGTGAGGAAAACTAAATTTACCTAACAACAAAACACAGCTCCACTGAACACATTGAGCCAGAACTAAATCTATTTAATCCTAGCACTTATCTAGGAGGGTGCTACACTGGGATGGAAGTGCTTTCATGCCTAGTGTGGTCAGTTTGAAATAGTAAAGCAGGATCACCAGGGATTTCACACAAAGGAAGCAATACAAAGAGAACAGAATACTTTTTAACATAGTGCAACCATGGTACCAGGATTATAAATATGAAATGGTGGGGAAACATATTATGTAAGACATGTGTCAAGGTTTATCATAGCGTTTAATGGTAGAAGATCACAGCTGAATGGTGCATTGACAAATGTTGGCCAAAAAGGGTTCACGTTTTGTTTTTTAATCCAACAACACACATAAATCAATTTAAAATTAGGTGTTGCCAGCCTAAGGGCTCATTCACACTTGCATTTGTGGCCAACAGCGATTTCATGTGGGTGTTTTTAGCTGCACTATCAGTTACTCATTGCTTTGAATGGGGTTTCCGGTCCTGCAGCTTTTTGCAGTAACACCACTTAGACTCCCGCAGAACATCACTGTTGGCCACAAACAAAGGAGTGAATGAGGCCTCAAGGATGATAATGCAACAGCTAATATTTGAAAATATTGCTATTCAGCAAAGATATAACCAGCAGTTATAGATCACATCCTCCATCTACAACACTCTCACCAACACCATTGATAAAACATGCATTATATTGCCAAAAGTATTGGGACACCCTTCCAAATTATTGGATTCAGGTGTTCCAATCACCTCCATGGCCAATCAAGCACCTAGGCATGCAGACTGCTTCTACAAACGTTTCTGAAAGAAATGGTCGATCTCAGGAGCTCAGTGAATTCAAACGTGGCCATATGATAGGTTGCCACCTGTGCAATACATCCATCCATGAAATTTCCTTGCTACTAAATATTCCATGGTCAACTGTTAGTGGTATTATAACAAAGTGGAAGCAACTGGGAACAACAGCAACTTAGCTACAGAGTGGTAAGCAACGTAAAACAACAGAGCCAGCACATGCTGAAGTGCACAATGCACAGAAGTCATAAAGGGCTTCATGGAATGGGTTTCCTTGGCCAAGTAGCTGCATCCATGTCTTACATCAAGTGCAATGCAAAGTGTCGGATGCAGTGGTGTAAAGCACGCTGCCATTGGACTCTAGAGCAGTGGAGAGGTGTTCTCTGGAGTCACGAATTACGTTTCTCTGTCTGGCAATCCCATGGACGTGTCTGGGTTTGGCAGTTGCCAGGAGAATAGTACTTGCCTGACTGCATTGTGCTAAGTGTAAAGTTTGGTGGAGAGGGGATTATGGTAGTGTGGGGTTGTTCTTCAGTGTGGGGTTGTTTGGGGATGGCCCCTTCCTGTTCCAACATGACTGCGCACCAGTGCACAAAGCAAGGTCCAAAAAGACATGGATGAGCGAGTTTGGGGTAGAGGAACTTGACTGGCCTGCACAGAGTCCTGACCTTAACCCGATAAATCACCCTTGGGATAAATTAGAGCAGAGACTGCGAGCCAGGCTTTCTTGTCTGACATCAGTGCCTGACCTCACAAACGCACTTTTGGAAGAATGGTCAGACATTCCCATCACACTCCTAAACCTTGTAGACAGCCTTCCCAGAAGAGTTGAAGTTAGTATAGCTGTAAAAAGTGGGCCAACTCAATATTGAACCATACAGATTATGACTGGGATGCCATTTAAGTTCATGTACGTGTAAAGGCAGGTGTCCCAATACTTTTGGCAATATTGTGTACTTACAGTAACAAAAACATATGAACAATCAATCTCAGTCACTTTTCCTGCAAGCTCACAACATGAATATTGATGGTTCTCTGTTTTAAGAACACAATTTTCCCAGAAATGAATTCCACCTTGTTCCGATGAACTCCCCGCAGCTGAAACTGAACCGAATTCCACACAAACTTTCTTTTGCTGTCCTCACAGCCGGGATTCACATATTTCATCAACATGAAGGTCGTGTAAGCTATGAAAATTAGACACTGAAGTCAATAATTGCTGTTACCTCATGCTTGTACCTCTTTTGCGATTGCATGTGAAGTCAAGGCCAATACGGATGCTGGCAGAATTTTAAATGAAAACTTGAGATGCAATTAAATCATTTTTTCCTAATTGCTGTAGTTATTAGACTGGAGATTTATGCTGAGTCTGATGAGTTTTTTGCTGTAATGCAGGAAGCGTCCCGGCCGAGAAATTATTCAGCAAAATCTGTGGTTTATGTTGTCATTTGGATAATGAATGGTTGGAGGGAGTGTGAGATAACAGATAATGGCTCAGGAATGACCGCATGACCGTATGCTGCAATATGTTGTCTATTCACAAGCCACAGTTGTGTATAGAAGTAATCATCTCACCAGCATCGATTTTTTTTTAAGTGAACCTGTCTCTGGCCCCTTGTCCTACCAACTAATCCACCAAGCGTGATTATTACTAGACATCAGAGGGACTCACATTGTGCCTCTGCCCATCCACATCATTCCACCATCCACACCATTCTTCCATCATGACTGACACATAAAGAACCCAGAGCCAGGAAAGATGGAAGATTGGTCAGATGATGCTTACAGAGACAAAAAAGAACTAGAAGCTTTATCTCAATGTTCCTCTAAGAATAATTATGGTTTATGGTAGCAATTGTATTGAGACTCCCAAAAGTGTGGAACCAACCTTCAGCACAGCCCCATCTTCTGGCAACCCACAGTAGGTAAAGGCTCTTTTGGAAGGTCATTACATACATATATTTCCCCAGCATGCACCACTGGCAATGGTGTCACCCATTTTTTCATGTGGCAACATGTTTGCTGTTATGTTTGGTGTGCTGTTAACAATTAATGACACCAAAAGCGCAACTAGGTAATTATAGGTGTATAAATGTGGCCATACACTCTACAATCTGATAGTAAAATCTCCTTTAGATTTACCAAAACTACATAATAAGAGGACACATAATCTATCCAATCACTCTGTATCTAATCAAGCAGGCCCTTGCACTACCAAGGGGTCAGGGGTATCTCATGGGTTGCATGCGGCCCCAGGGAGTTTAGCACATGGCCTTAGCCCATCTAAATGGATGCTGGGGAACCCAGGCAAATGCATGCATGGAGGGATGCAGGGGATGTTGTGAAAAAATAGTTAATGGGTGAAGGGTGTGGGTTGTAATAAGGTCAGTGCAGGATGTGTGTTGTAATGAAATCATCTGGTAAACTCTCTCCTGTGTCTTACTGACTTCTGTGTCCTAAATCTACATGCCAGCAAGTGATGAAGCTTTCAGAAGAAGAAATACAGCAAGGTCTAAAGGAAGGACATTCTCAAAATCAAAGAAAGCTTATATTTTTCTGCAACAGAGGTACATTAATGCTATATTGGTACATAGGGAAGCTGAAATCTAATATTAAAAAAGGTGAATTTAGCCTTTAACCGCTAGCCTACAGGGCACTTATACCCCCTTCCTGCCCAGGCCAATTTCCAGCTTTCAGCGCTGTTACACTTTGACAATTGCGCAGTCATACAACACTGTACCCATATGAAATATTTATCATTTTTTGTGACAGAGCTTTCTTTTGGTATTTAATCACCTCTGGGTTTTTTATTTTTTCTTAAACAAACCAAAAACCACTGAAAATTTTGGGAAAAAAAGTTTTTTCTTAGTTTTCGTTATAAAATTTTGTAAATAAGTGATTTGCTCCTTCACTGATGTGCGCTAATGAGGCTGCAGTGGTGGGCACTGATAGGCTGCACTGATGGACACTGATAGGTGGCACTGATGGGTTGTGATGAGGAGGCACTGGTAGGTGGCACTGATGGGCATTGACAGGCATCACTGATGGGCACTGAAAGGCAGCACTGATAGGCGGCACTGACTGGCACTGATAAGTGGCACTGATGGGTGACACTGAAAGGCAGCTCAGATGGGCACTGATATGTGGCATTGATGTGCACTGGTAGGCACTGATATGTGGCACTGATGGGCACTGGCACTGGACACTGACTAGTGGCATTGCTGGGGCTACACTGATCATCAGGGCACACTGATCATCAGTGCCCTGATGATCAGTGTACATGTCCCCTCCGCGGAAAGCCGATTACCGGCTCTCCTCTCCTCTCGAGCTGTCAGCATGACAGCTCGAAAGGAGAGAAATGCCGATAACCGGCATTTCCCTGTTTACATGTGATCAACTGTGATTGGACACAGCTGATCACATGACCGAGCCGACATCTTCGGCTCTTTCCGCGATCAGTGATCTGCTGTGTCCGAGGGACACAGCGCACCGCTGATCGCCGCGCTGCACGCTCCCTGAGCTGCGCATGCGCGGTGAGAATGGGAGGACATCATATGACGTCCTCCCAGAATAAGAGAACCACCTTGCACCCGTCATTGGACTATATGGCGGGCGGGAGGTGGTTAAAATGTATTAAAAACTATAAATAAATAGATACCAAATGGCTGGCTACCTGTAACTGTAGCAACTTATCACGGTTGCAATATTTATATTGGACTATGTGATCCTCAGGGTCGTTTTCATATGTGCTTTATACATTCATACATTTTTATTGATACACACTGCTCAAACAAATTAAAGAAACATTTTGAAAACACATCAGATCTCAATGGAGAAAAATATCATGCTGGATATCTATACTGACACGGACTGGGTAATGTGTTAGGAACTTAAAGATGCCCCATCATTTGATGGAAATTAAAATTATCAACCTACAGAGGACTGAATTCAAAAACACCCTACAAATCAAAGTGAAAAAATGATGCAGCAGGGGTGTCCATTTTGTTGAAATTTCATTGCAGCAACTCAAAATGATAGTAGTTTGTATGGCCCCCACGTGCTTGTATGAATGCCTGTCAGCATCAGGGCATGCTCCTAATGAGATGACAGATGGTGTTCTGGGTATTTCCTCACAGATCGGGATCAGGGCATCACTGAGCTCCTGGACAGTCTGAGGTGCAAACTGGAGGTATCGGATGGACCGAAACATGATATCCCAGAGGTGTTCTATTGGATTTAGGTCCGGTGAGCGTGGGGGCCATTCAATGCTATCAATTCCTTCATCCTCCATGAACTGCCTGCATACTCTCATCACACGAGTCTGGGCATTGTCGTGCACCAGGAGGAACCCAGGACCCACTGCACCAGTGTAGGGTCTGACAATGGGTCCAAGGATTTCATTCCGATACCTAATGGCAGTCAGGGTGCCATTGTCTAGCCTGTAGAGGTCTGTGCGTCCTCCCATGTATATGCTTCTCCTGATCATCACTGATCCACCATCAAAATGGTCATACTGAATGATGCTACAGGCAGCATAACATTCTCCACGGCTTCACCAGACCCTTTCACGTCTGTCACATATGCTCAGGGTGAACCTGCTCTCATCTGTGAAAAGCACAGGGCGCTAGTGGTAGACCTGCCAATTCTGGTGTTAAATGGCAAATGCCAATCGAGTGCTATGGTGCTGGGCAGTGAGCACAGGGCCCATTAGAGGACATCAGGCCCTCAGGCTACCCTCATAAAGTTTGTTTCTGATTCTTTGGTCAGAGACATTCACACCAGTGGCCTGCTGGAGGTCATTTTGTAAGGCTCTGGCAGTGCTCATCCTGTTCCTCCTTGCACAAAGGAGCAGATACCGGTCCTGCTGATGGATTAAGGACCTTCTACGACCGTGTCCAGCTCTCCTAGAGTAACTGCCTGTCTCCTGGAATCTCCTCCATGCTCTTGAGACTGTGCTCAGAGACACAGCAAACCTGATGTGCCATCCTAAAGGAGTTGGACTGCCTGTGCAACCTCTGTAGGGTCCAGGTATCGCCTCATGCTACCAGTAGAGACACAGACCCTAGTCAAAAATGTTGGAAAACAGTAAAAAAAGATGAGTAGTGAACAAAATGTCAGTGGCCTCCACCTGTAAATATATTCCTGTTTTGGATGTCATCTCATTGTTGCCCATTTAGTGCTTCTGTTAATTTCATTAACACCAAAGCAGCTGAAACTGATTAACAACCCCCTCTGCTACTTAACTGACTAGACTGACTAGATCAATATCCCAGGAGTTTAATTGACTTGATGCTATACTCATATAGGATGAATTGGGACTTGTTCCTATGTTGATATTGAGCATGACTATATACTGTATTTCTAGCAATCTTCTTGAATTACATGATTCTGGATTGGTTAATCAATCCCAATTATGTTATTGATTCCCAGTATATTATACAAAATTAGATGAGTATTAAATGAATTTTTGTGTTTTCCCTGAGGAAGGGTGTTTTGTTACTTTGTAGAACTGGACAAAATGCCTGGCTACCAGTAACTGCAGCAATTTATCACTGTTGGAATGTTTATGTTGGGCTATGCAATCCTTTACTTTCTGGGCAGTTTCTTGATCATTTTCATATATGCTTTATACATTTATATATTTTCATTAATATATTTCCATATAGGGTGAATTGGGGCATGGTAAGGCAAATGGTAAGGCAATTTTGCATATACTGAATGATAGGAATATCCCCATAACAGTGGACCCACAGGAAACAGAGAGCACTCTGCCCCCACCGGGGAATACAGGAGAAACATAAATTGGTCTTGAGAAAGTGATAATCAAATTACAATCAGAAGTAACTACATCAGTCTGTGCATTATTAAATCAAAAGGGGCTAAACAAGGAGTGACCAACCAAGCATCCCAAAGTTTCTGAAATTTACCCGAACATCCTCTATGCTGGTAAATTAAACGATCATAAAATATTCCATATTTTGCTTCCAATCAGCAATAGTGAGGGAATTATCAGAGGTCCAGCACACCAGAATCTCCTTGCGCACCTGGAACAAGGCCTTGGAAAGGGCCTCTAATATAAATGTATCTTGCGTTACCGAATCTAAAATACCCAAAAGGCGCTGCTTAGGATCCAAAATTAAATTAGTTTGAAACACCAAATTAAGGGTAGTTACCACTTCCTCCCAATACCTATGAAATTTTGGACATCTCCACATGTGTATCAGATCTCCATGGTCCCGCTTGCATCTGCCACACAGGGGATCCTGACCTAGCCCCATCTTGTACAGCTTTGCCAGAGTGTAATGAACCCTAAGTAGAATATATAGTTGAGAAATGCAATGGGAAACCGTCAATGAACTAAGATGTACTGAATGCATGCAGCATCCCACTGGTCATCCTCAAAAGTCCCAACATCTTGTTCCCATTGCCCACCGGCCCTGCTCTCTCTGCCGTCTCTCATCCGTGCCCCTCTCCCCTCCTGCAAAGATGAAAGGCATTCCTAAGACAAGCTGGAGCCACGCTACCTCCGGGGGGCCCCCCCCCGGTTACCTAGGTGACTAGGGGGGTCCGACCAGTTTTCAGAAGCTGATGCCAGAGCTCCTGAGGTATTCACCGCTGTGTAGCTGACGGAAGGGGCCCGGGCTGCGGTTGGGACCTTTTCGTGGCCAGGCTCGGCAGAGACCCAAGGCTGCCTAGGACCCCCCTTTCTCCCAGAGCTGGAGAAGACTGTTTGCTAGACACCTGAGATCCGTGAGTACATGCTCTCTTCCTGCTTCACTTGAACTGTTCTTGTGCTGACCTCACACCAACCCCCCCTGTTGGATTACTTGCTACAGAGACTCTCCCTTGGCTCTCGGTGTTGGACTTTAAGTGTGTTGGTCCTTCCGTGTCGCCCTGGACTGGCGTATTCATCCACCCTGCGAACTCCCCTATTCGGTGACTGTCATCTGTTTGCCTCAATAAAGCTTTGTGCGTTTGCCATCTACTCTGTGTGTTCTGTCCTGCCTACGCTCCGTCACAAGCATGCTATAACAGCAAGGAATAAGCTCCTTGGTCACCGTAGCAGATTGTAAGTAGTTACAAATAGGGGTAGGAGAGGGGTGCCAGAGGGCCGATGGTGGACGAAACGCATCAATGTAACATACTGACATCATCACACCCAGAAGTAACGTCCCACGTGGACAACACCATAGACTGGCGAGAGCGGCGATGTTTTTATGCCATGCGATATGCCTCATGATCTGGCGGGAACTCTGCACAAGGAATAATCGTGAAATGAGGTTTGATCATTATCTTAATGGGAATTGTGTGAATAAACCACTCTGTATCTACAACATGACAATCAAGTCTCAACGGGCTGAGAATCTATTTCCTGGGAAATGGCTAGGTCATTAGCCAGTATAACGGTGGTGAATGGGGTGCATTGTTAAAACATTGTTTAATGTTACTGCACACCTCATCCGAAGTTTTGCAATTTATTCTCAGCTTCACAATACATTTGCCATGATGTTTATCTGAAGGAATACCCAGAAGGGATAAAGATATCTACATATTTTCATGATATATGGAAGCTTAAACCACACAGTATTGAAGTTATGAAGGAACATGGGACGGTATGAATAGTTCAACACTGTATAATTCCATGGGAACTCCTTCTTGCACTCTACAAATTGGCATACTCATTTCTTTTTTTCAACTTGCATTTTTTTGCAGTTCTCACGCATCTAATGATCATGATTATTCATATCTAGCTATATACTTGGCTAATTTTTTGTCTCACTGCTATCATTGTATATGCAGGATATATATGTGTACAACACAAAGGCTTGTGATAAACGGCTGAATTTTGGCTATCTTTGCTAATATGCTGCTGTATATCTCAACCAGTCAAAGTGAATACCACTAGAAATGTTGCAATCCGGATTGCTTGTCTTTCATTGTTTTTAATGTGTATTCAGTGATTGTATATGTCACCATCCATGGATATTACCTTTTCTTCCAAAGGGAATAATAAAAATATGTGATTTTACATATAAGCTATATTGCTTGGGTGTTTATTACCTACTTCGGTAGTTGGCTCATGGCAACTACTACTTCTTTTGTCCGATGGGCCCAAAGCATTAACTGCATGTTTTAACTGCAAATAGTAAAATAGCATCGTGGATGGTAGGTTATATCTAGACTGCAAGACAACAAAGGAGAGAAGCTGACCATTGCTAAATATATGCTTCAAATGAGTGATACTATAGGCTTTCCATTTAGAAACATATTGTAATTTGGCCAATTCTGGTAGTGTCGCATTATTCCATATGGGACTATAAACCGTATGGCCCGTAATCTGTAGCAAATGCTTAACCTAAAGCCAAATTTTTTGCATTAGGCGATATGTAGGGAAGGATTTATTAGGTTTACAAAAAGATTGAGCCTGAAGACCCTCAGCAAAGAGCCAGAGGCAGTGCAGTGCAACATCACTTTAAGGACA